TGTAAAACCAAAGGAGGGTTAAAGCAATTGTAATAACAGTGCCTAGCAGTTTGGATATGCATGATGAACTGAATGCACATGTAACATCCGCCATTCTACGTGTATATGACCATCACCGCTGAAAAAAAAAAACAGAACAAAAACCCAAAAGAGACTATAGCACACATCAAGACAATTCAAACTGAAATACATTTATCTTTAGTGAACAAAAAGACACAATCTGGGAGATGGAAGACTACTTCCATACACTAAACGACGCACAGGAGAAATAAAAGTTACTTTTCTGCAGCATCTAACCAAATCAGTTGAAGTTGAATTGGCAGATTTTTGTACAAAGTTTTCACAAGCAGTTTGGAAATGTATTAACAGAAAATCCTCAGTGATGAAAGAATTCCTCCAGCAAGGAAGACCAACATGAAATATTACAAATCATAAACAATGAAGTCTTTACACAATAAACTCTCTCCATGCTCTAGACACGTACATTTGTTTGACAAATGAATTGGTGACAGTAAACAAAAGAAAAGCTACATGTAACTTGGTTAGAAATGTGCAATTGAGGAGATTAAAGAGAGGTAATGCATGGATTCCAGACAGTTAAATTCAGCAATGCCCAGGCAGTCAAGATTGTGGAAAGTCAACACATGAATGCCAGATACATGTACATGTACATGTAGACGTGGCAACAATCTCCAGGAAGTAAAAGGGTTTGTGGGAAGACAACAAATGGATTCAGCAAAGTTCCTACATGTACATGTAGCAACAATCTCCAGGAAGTAACTGGGTTTGTGGGAAGACAACACACAGATTCCTGAAGACAAAGTGTCACAAGACAGGTGCACACTGACTAGCATGTTGTTAGTGTGGATATTCTATCATAGGGCACTTACGGATTGGATGTTTCCATGCGGCTGTTAATAAGGGAAAAATAAAGATGAACATTACCAGATTAGAAAGCAAGGGATTAGCATTGATAGGAAATTGGGATTAATAGACAACAAAACGAATAGAGAATTACTACAAAGAAGCTGATAAGCAGATCAGGACAGATTTAGGAGCTAATTCAATGAGTTGGTCAGAACTGAGCAGATGTTGGCTTAATGTAGGACATCCACCATGTCACCATGTATGTCACGACATACATGTAAAAAGGTTATTAACCCCAATCCCATGCAGTGCATGTATACAGGAACTGCTAGTGACTTATTTTTGGGAATTTTATTTTGTGCTTCACACCTCAATGAATTTGAGCCCAGAATTCTGGACCCAAACCATGTACCTGGATGAGCTTGATGTGCTTTGAATGGAACAGACTATGTGGACATGCTGGACATGTACATATGCATGTAGATTACAACAAATCTTGTTATCAATGTCAATTCTCCAAGAAATACCGCTAGCCTTTGTACAAGGTGTTTTTTTATTTACTGATGAATGTCGCAGGTAGGAAATGTGTGTCCACACCAGTGCACACCTCTCAAGTCCAGCAGAAGGACAGCAAACCTGACAATTTAAACTGAATGTGCACATACTGTACCTGGTCACAGTTACATGTATGTAAGAGATACTTGCATTTAAGTTACAGTGCGTGACAGAACCAACACTGAAGTACTCTGAGAATATTTGTTGGGTTTTTTGGTCCCTAACGGATGGCTGCACTCTACAGGTTATACAGGTTTGAACTGAGACTACAACTGAGCATTAAGACTAAAAATAACAACAAATAACCACTGAGTTATCAAACAGACCGATTCAGGAAATTCAAACAGCGATAACAACAATATGGGCTAGGAATGATTAAAAAAATTGTTTTGGGCAGAAATGACGTACATTTGAGATTTTGTTGCACACTGCAAGTGATAGCATTTCATGGGAAAAGTGGAAGTGGGAGGATGGCAGCGGAGAGGGTTGAAGAGGAAATGTCTGGTGGGGATTAGTTCACTACGGCCCTCCATCATGGATGAAAATGACACGAACAAGATAACACTCAATGTACAGAGCGAAAGACAAAAAATTACAAAGGAAACACCACCACGTAAGAAACGATACATGTAGCAGAGAAACTGGCATGGAGAAAGATTGCAGGATTAAGAAATCATATACAAGAAGACAGGAAACTACAGTCAATATAATAAGACAGTCGGTTAATCCAAGCTGCTTCATTAATGCCTACTGCAGCTATGATGGAAGTTACATGTATCTATCCCAGCAATCAATGTAGGTCAAAGGTCAGATGACAAATACTAGCTCATCATACATACATTTACATTGCTAGACATGCTTTCTTGTAATGTTTCACACTTGGGTGGTCTCGCAGGATCAACCTTGTTCTTTGTATAAAACAAAAAAGGGATCCATGAAAACCACACCCAAAAAACAGCCCTGGACTCTCAAGGTTTAACATGCAACCTTGTCAGATTTAATCACAACAAACTTTGGCAACGACGGACACATACACTGTAGAGC